TGCAGTCATGGGACAAGTGAAAAAGTTTATAACTTTGCCACCTTCTGTGATTAGGCAAGGAATCAGGGATGCCACAGAATGAAGTTTTATCATATATAATACAGGTAGGTCCTAAGCTTACTTTATACAGTCTTTATTTTGTGTATTAGATACCATTTTAGCAAAATTGATTTCTTTTATCTGTCTACTATTTTTCATAATAACTTTCTTCCTTTTTTAGCTACAAGGCTTTGGCAGACCAAGTGTATATCATGCTGCTATTGTCATCTTCCTAGAATTCTTTGCGTGGGGCTTGTTGACAACTCCAATGTTAACTGTAAGTATTGCTGAACAGGTCCTTGTTTATGAAAGCAAAACAGAGGTTCTTAAGCATATATCCCCAGGGCCAAATGTTTAGGTATGTGTTTGAGAGAATCTCTTGACAGCGATTTAAGACTGCTTATTCCACTGTGTTGTTTCCACTGTGTAGACTAAGAACTACCTGCAACAAAACACCTGGGCTGCACGTTAAATATTCTTGGGTAGCAAGGCACTCCCACTGAGCCAGAATCTTAGAAGTGCTGTGGGTGAACTGTAGGTATTTAGGAAGACCGTAAGGATGCACAAGGGGAAATTATTGCAAAGCTTTGTTGAACTTTGTAACTTACTTTGTATGGATGTAATGGCCTTTGACTAAGAACATAGGAAATAGGTTGGTAAGTACCTTGTAACAGTGATCATTGTCATATTTGGTAGCTAACTTACTATAGCCACTTCTTTGCAGAGGCTGTACTGAATTTCTTAGCAAGAACCTGGATATTTGATAATGTGTTGTGGTTAGAGGGAAGGGAAATGCTTAAGAAAGGTTTGGCATGTAGATTTGGGGTGCTTAATTACTTTTTAATTTATTTTATTTTTTTAGAAGATTTTATTTGAGAAAGTGCACATGCACGTGTATGCACGAGCAGGGGGAGTAACAGAGAGAGCGAGAGAATCCCAAGTGGACTGAGGACAGAGTCCGACACAGGGCTCAATTTCAGGACCCTGAGATCATGACCTGAGCCAAAATCAAGAGTCAGACACTTACTCGACTGAGCCACCCAGGTGCACCCCAATCAGTAACAATTCTAATAAAAATATTTTAAAATTTAAGAAAAAGGTATTTTTAAATTGGCCTTACATTTCAGTTGTCTTAAAAATCATTGGTGGTTAACTCTTCCCAATCACCATTTTGCCTTACAGGAGAATCCCTTTGGATACAGATAAACTCTGGTTGCAAATTAGCTTTAGAAAACAGGCAACTTTAAAGGGTGGCTATTAGCCTTACATAAGACTTTGCTATTTTTAATTCTTCTGGTGCATTTAAAATAAAATTTGATTTAATTAAAATGACAGCTTGGATGGAGCAGTCAACTTAAAAGGTTGCCTGTGTTTTTAAACCTCTATTTTATTCTTTCTCATTATACTACGTTTTCCTTCCTAATGCTTTACTACAGAAGGTAATTGGTTATTAGTTAATGGGGGTAAGTGGTCCCCGCTTTAAGTTTCATGAGCCTGCTGTGTTCACCCCTGTTTGGGCTGCCTATGACACAGTTGGTGCTCAGTAGATATTTTCTTTGAATAATAAGTATATGAACTGTAGGCACACGTGTGTGTCCTTGAGGGATTGTTTCTTTGAGACCTATTTTCAGTATGAATATAGACACACCAGGCTACTGATTGTAAGGAACTATGTTACTTAATTTTTGGTCTAGGCTCTCTGGCTCTGTCCATGTCCATGTCCCCCCCAACCCCCATGTGTTAAGCGTTTTAAATAGTTTAAATAGTATTTTTCTAAGGCAACCAGAAATCTGCCGTAGTGGTTCAGCAGGTTTCTCAATATAGAGTTAATCCTATAATCATGCTCGAGTAAGAATTCAAAGTGGAGAATACTTTAATACTTTTGAGGCCTTGTTAGAAATTCTGAAACCACCTTCCAGACCGTTAAAATCTTTGGGGACCTTTTTGGCCCTAGACCAGGTTGTCAGATCTCTTTTAATTTTAATTAATTAGTTAATTAATTTTAATATGCATGCAAAGACTGCTGTGCCTTTTTTCTTACTGCCCAATGCAGATAATTTTCCTAGGGGTTCTTTGTCCTCGTTAGACCCTGGAATGCAGCCTTAGAAGCCAGCTAAAATGCTGCTTTGTTTTCTCTTTGCAGTTTCTGAGCAGTTGTGCTGCTTTCAAAGATTTGGTTAAAATAAACATGTGAGGAGTACAGCGTTGCTAGCATCACTCTGACACGCTATACTGTCATAGAAAAAGTGTTGCTGAGTCAATAGATGGGTTCATTCTCTTTTTTCTGAGCTCTTGGTGTTGCTAAATTAAGCTAAATGTCCTTTACTGTCCTATCTCCCTTAGCCTTTACATCACAGTTTGCTACCTCTGTTTTTGTTCTGATGTGGCAGGGCTGGTTCCTTTCACCTTTTTTACGGGGGGCAGGAGGGGGAGATTTTCTCTGGCATATCCCCTCTACTTTCTGCCTTTTCTGGTTGTACAGAAAACTGATAATGTTAGGTTGTTTGATAAGGAAGGGACAAAATTAGGGTTTGTTTATTACAGCAGGAGTTCGTTTATCCTCTTCCTTTATGTTGGGGTTTACTGTTGTCAGATAACTAGTTCTTGACATCCTGCATCTATCACCCACTATGGTGTAACTATTAGGATGATGGTTCATGTGTGGGGTTTTTTTCCGGGCTATAACTAGTGGACAGCACTCTGTCCTGTTCCATCAGGTGAGAAAAACAGTCTGAAATAAGGATTTGGAGATACAGAACAGTACCTACATATTAGTATTTTGTCCAATCAGACTGTCTGCATCCTAGCACTCATTAGAAGTGCTCTGTTTGAAGTAGTACAGAATTGGAGACTTTCCAGGATGGCGGAGAAGTAGGAGACCTTAGTTTTGTCAGGTCCCAGGAATTCAGCTAGATTGCTATCAAATCATTCGAAACACCTGTAAACTCATCCAGAGATCTAAGAAAAGAATTGCTACAATTCTACAAATAGAAAAGAGACCATGTTCTGCAAGAATGACAAGACAGAAAAACTCACCTCAAAAAAGAACAAGAGAGGGTACTGACAGCCAGAGACCTAATCAATATGGATATAAGTAAGATGTCAGAACTAGAGTTTAGAATAACGATTATAAAGATACTAGCTGGGCTTGAAAAAAGCATAGAAGACACTAGAGAATCCCTTTCTGGAGAAGTAAAAGAACTAAAATCTAATTAAGGCAAAATAAAAAGGGCTATTAATGAGATGCAATAAAAAATGGAGGCTCTAATTGCTGGGATAAATGAGGCAGATAGATGCCATTCCCATTGGAAATATGGACTTGGCCCTGCTTATAGTCATTCCCACCCCATTGCTGCTTTTCTAACTAGGTCTTAGTTTGCATTTCAGGGCCTTGGGGCTGTTACTTACACAGCCAGGGTGCCAAGACTGGTGGCAAGTTCCCAGTCAGTCCCTGAACGCTTGGTGCTTAGCTGGCTAGGGTATTCATGGGGATGGGTAAAGATTTAATTTTCTGTTACGCTGGTACATGAAACAATTTGTGTTTTGACCTTGTGTCTAGTGATTTTGCTGAATTCACTTACTAATACTAAGTGTTTATCTGCAGATTTTTACATACATGTTCATATATTTTGTGAGTGACAGTTTTTAAACCCTTCCAGTCCTTTTTCTTTTTCTTTTTCTTACTGTATTGCTGTGACATCCAGTACAGTGTTGAATAGAAGCGATCATAGTAGGCATCCTTATCTCACAGATGATATCTGTTGGAAAGTGATCTAAAATTTAAAATTCACCACTAAGTATATTATTTGCTATAGATATGTTTTTGTAGATACTCTTTGTCAGAGAAAGGAAGTTCCCCTCTATTCCTGTTTTGCTTACAGTTAATTAGGTGTTAAATTTTATCAAATGAATTTTCTGCATATAACCAGATAACAACTAGATTTTTCCTTTATTTGAGTAATGTTGTCAGTTATATTGATTTTTTTAATTAAAAGATTTTATTTGAGAGAGAGAGATTACAAGAAAGGGGGTGTAGAGGGAGAAGCAGGCTCCCCTCTGAGCAGGGAGCCCGACGCAAAAACTGGATCCCAGGACTCCGGGATCATGACCTGAGCCGAAAGCAGACGTGTAACCGACCGAGCCACCCAGGTGCCCAGTTATACTGATTTTTGAATATTAGGCCACCCTTGCATAAATCCCACTCACTTAGTTTTGTTATATATTTATAACTAGAAGCTTGTACTTTTCATCCCCTTCACCCATTTCACCCACCGTCCCCTGCCTCTGGCAACCACCAGTCTGTTCTCTGTATCTGTGAGCTTGTTTATTTTGTTTTGTTTTGTTTGCTTCCACATATAAATGAGATAATATGATATTAGTCTTTTTCTGTTTGACTTATTTCTCTTAGTGAAATGCTCTCAGGGTCCATTAATGTTGTCTCAGGTGGCAGAATTTCCTTCCTTTTTAATGGCTGAATAATATTCCCGTGTGTGTGTGTGTGTGTGTGTGTGTGTGTGACAGTTTCTTTTATTTTTATTTTTAATTGAAGTACAGTATGATATATTAGTTTCAGGTGTACAACATTGTGATTTGACAGTTCTATACGTTACAAAATGCTCACTGTGATAGTTACCATCTGTCACCATACAGAATTATTACAGTCTTAATGACTATATTCCCTATGGTCATATTGTTGCATGTGTATTATCTTAATTTCTAAACATTTGGGGACTTTTCTAGATTGTATTATCAGAGATCATATTATGAATTATTTCAGTTCTTCAAAATTTGTTGAAGCTTGTTTTGTATACTTGCATATGGTTAATTCTGATAAATTTTCCATATGATCTGAAAAGAACAAGTATTCCCTGGAGTAGTGTTCTCTATGTGGTAAGTATGTTAAATTTGTTAATTATGTGGTTTTTTTTTTTTTTTTCGACTTTTACAAACTGTTTATTTTCCGTCAACCTTTTCCATTTCTATTTTCATTTTGTTTGCCTTTGTGGAAGACCAGCTTAAGACCACTCAGTGGTGGGCGCCTGGATGGCTCAGTTGGTTAAGCGACTGCCTTCGGCTCAGGTCATGATCCTGGAGTCCCGGGATCGAGTCCCGCATCGGGCTCCCTGCTCAGCAGGGGGTCTGCTTCTCCCTCTGCCCTCTTCCCTCTCGTGGTCTCTGTCTCTCATTCTCTCTCTCTCAAATAAATAAATAAAATCTTTAAAAAAAAAAAAAAGACCACTCAGTGGTTGTTCCTACCCATTCAGTGGCCTGAGCAGTGGGAGCTGCAGACCAGTCTTCAGTGGCCGGCTGGGCGCTCCAGTCTTCAGTAGGGAACTGCTGAATAGGCACCGAGGGCACCTGCACGCCTTCAGACCAGTCTGCAACTTCAGGCTGAGTAGCAGTGAACTCAGGAGCTGGAGCCGTCCATTCACCCTGAAATTCCTCCTTGGTCACAGCGTTTTCAGCAGCAGCCTGCTCTTCCTTTTCAATCTCTTCAGGATCTCTGTAGAAGTAGAGATCAGGCATGACCTCCCACGGGTGTTCTCGGGAAATGGTGCCACGCATGCGCAGAACTTCCCTGGCCAGCATCCACCACATCAGACCCACTGAGTGAGCTCCCTTTTTAGGACCTTATAGCAGGATTCATCAAGTTGCTCTGAAAATCGAAAAGGCCCAGTAACATGTGAGGCCCAAGCAGTTAAGAAATATGGAGAAAAGAAAACACAGACCATTCAAAAAGGATTTCTCCTTAAAGCTGACACATATGAATTATACTTGTAGCAAGAATTACTATCAAACTCCACTCATTGGGCCAGAGACCCTTGTGGTGTTAGCGAAAAGACTTGCCCCTCGTGTAGCACACTTGTTAATTATGTTTGATGTCTTTTATATATTCACTGATGTCTTTTGTCTACCTGTTCTGGCATCCTTCAAGAGAGATGTATTTCTCTTCCACTTTTTACATTATTGTTGTGCAGCTAAATTCTGTATTTTTTTAAACACTACAGTACATTGTAATATTTTATACAGTCAGTATTTACCCTGATACTTATCCATTCTGATGTTCTTACTTTTTCTGTATTTCTGTGCTTTCTCCTATAATCAGTTCTTGAAGACTTTTTTTTTTGCTTGTTTTGCTTTGGTGCAGGTCCCTGTGCAGCACATTGTTTTTAATGTGCATAGCATTTTTTGGAATGTCTTGGAGGACACTTACTTATTTTAAAACTTTCTTCTGTTTCCTACCATAATTTGGTTATTTGGCAGTGAGGCAGATTATCTTTTCCTGTTTGTGTTCTTTTTGTGCCTTTCAGTGATTTTCAGATTTGTTACTGAATTTTATACATGCTTATATTTACAAATGGGGGGGTAGATCAGAGATTGTGAAAACAAATTTTTCTGGGGCTAGGCAAGTAATGTAAATGTCAGAAGTGGGATAGGAATGTTGTCGTTGGAATACATGCTCCTTCAGCTGCGGCAGCCACTGTCTGCTTACTCAGCTAATCAGTGATGTGGCAACTGAAGCCCCATGTTTTGAAATCTTCTGACTTCTTGTAACATGCTAGAAAATCATATGGAGTATGATTTTTCCTAAAATATACACACTGACAATTATCACACTTGGAAAAACACAAATACAAGTCAGAAAGAATATCAGCTTGCCAATTTGCTGCCTGTGCCCTATACACCTCTGGTAGTTGGAGTACTGCCCAGGTGGAAAGGCCTGTTCCTCAGAATTGAATGCAAGCATTGCTTGTAGGAGCTCCTGATTGATGCCAGTGTGGTTGTTCAGAGATCCCTGTATAAGGATGAAGTAGTTTATTGTGTGATTGTAGGGCTTTATGCTACTCTTGGCAAACAAGGAACCTGGGGCATTATCATTTTTTAATCCTACCCATTTGGTTCTGCAGGTATCCCCTTTAGTAATGTCAGTTCAGAGAACTGTGCTGTTTGATTCTTATGTTGGGCACAGATACGGAGGTCAGCAGCCTTGAGAGCAAGATACCAGGAGCTCATTTTATAACCTTTTAAAAACCTCTTCAACTGTGGATGTTTTTCCTCCTCCTCCAGTTCTGAATCTTGTTTTTTTTGTTTTATTTTTTTTCCTGGACTCAGGGAAATTTACGTTTTCTTTTTTTCTTTTTTTATAAAGATTTTATTTATTATTTGACAGAGAGAGAATGAGAGACAGAGAGCACGAGAGGGAGGAGGGTCAGAGGGAGAAGCAGACTCCCCGCTGAGCAGGGAGCCTGACGCGGGACTCGATCCAGGGACTCCAGGATCATGACCTGAGCCGAAGGCAGTCGCTTAACCAACTGAGCCACCCAGGCACCCGAAATTTACGTTTTCAAAGATCTTTTTTTTTCCCCCTACCTTCACATGTTATTGTTGCTTCAACTCTTTCAGGGTTTCCCGTCTGCTGTGTATCATCCAGAAGTCCTTCACTATTCTTAGCTTCTCAGGAATACTGTAAATTTAGTTTCCTATCAGTGGAATTTTAGGCAGAAGTACAGAAATACAGCTGTGTGTGTGTGTGTGTGTGTGTGTGTGTGTAATGTGTAAGCATATATACATACATATGCGGTTATTAGCTTCATTGTACTAGAAGTCAATTCAACTCTCTAAACTTTCAGTTATTAGGAAATACTATTATAGGGGCGCCTGGGTGGCTCAGTTGGTTAAGCGTCTGCCTTCAGCTCAGGTCATGATCCCGGGGTCCTGGGATTGAGCCGCACATCAGGCTCCTTGCTCAGTGGGGAGTTTGCTTCTCCCTCTGCTGCTTCCCCTGTTTGTGCTCTCTCTCTCTTTCTG